CACCATCATTATCTTCGTCACGGGCTGATGTCGGGACCACTGGAGGCTCAATAGGGACAGCGCCTCGAGGACACTCAAGAGCCACTGGATCACCACGTACGCCACGTTGAGGCCTACGCATACGGGGAGCCTTGCGCACAGGACCGCCAGCCCACGGATCACCATTGCCAAACGCCCAAGGATGAGGTCCACGACGAGCGCCGGGACCTGCGCCACCAGGGAGGCCTCCTGAATCACGTTCGCGGTTTCAACGACGTCGATCACCAGCCAAATCACCATCGTCATCATCGGTATCAGGTCCATTACCTTTGTCGGGCAGATCGTCATCATCAGCATCGTGGCCAGCACTTCCTCCAAGAAGAAGGAGCACGATGTTTGAGTATGATTTTGACGTGCGATTCGCCAGCTGGGGTCTGATGACCATGATCCGCGACGTCATAGAACTTCACACTCTGTCGAAGTTCTGCCCCGAGAAGAGCCGCGATGGTGTTGTCCATCCGCACGTCAAACTTGGCGGAAAAAACCAAGAAAAAAGGACGAACTTGTTCTCGTGGCTGTTCATCCGGACCTGGCATTGACGACCCAGCAGCAGCTGCTGAATCACCCATTCCAGGTGCGAGGACGAGACCATGGGTGCGTAGCGGGAGGGAGGGGGGACGGCCGCAGGTGCAGCCGAGCGGCCCACGGGCAAGCAGGTGCTTGACCAAATGGGCCATGATGATGATGATGATGATGATGATGATGATGATGATGATGATGATGATGATGATGATGATGATGAGGATGAGGATGAGGATGAGGATGAGGATGAGGATGAGGATGAGGATGAGGATGAGGATGAGGATGAGGATGAGGATGAGGATGAGGATGAGGATGATGATGATGATGATGATGATGATGATGATGATGATGATGATGATGACGGTGGTGGTCATAGTGTTGATGATGCTGATGATGCTGATGACGACGGAGCGGCCTAGGCCACCAGGGTGATGTGGGCCACCCGAGGGTACCGCGAGGGGTACCGCGAGGCGTCAGGGACGCCCTCGTAGGATCCGGAATCGTACCTTGGGGGCACGCGGCTGGGCACGTGTTCGGCGTCCGCTCCGCGGTGGGCGATCGCGCCTCGCAGTGAGCTGTCGACTCGGCTGCGGCTGCGTAGTCTCTTCCTGCACAGTGCAGCTGGGCGGATGGCCGTCAGTGACTTCCGCGCGGCTCCAGGCTGTGGACTCGTCGATCCCTGGCCGCTCAAGCTGGCCAAGTTGTTTCGCCTGGTCTCTGAGGACTCGCCGTGCGCGTGATTGTTGTGTGCAGAGTGCACGTTGTCGCGTGCTCGGCAGCTTGATGCCTGGATGCAGTGTTGCGGCGTGATCCCGTTGTGCACCAAGGTCCCGATCGTCTTCATCATCATCATCATCATCATCATCATCATCATCATCATCATCATCATCATCATCATCATCATCCTCATCCTCATCATCATCCTCATCCTCACCATCATCATCATCATCATCATCATCATCATCATCATCATCATCATCATCATCATCATCATCATCGTCATCATCGTCATCAGCAGCAGCATCATCATCCTCATTATCATCATCATCACCATCATCATAAGCAGCACCATCATCGTGTCATCATCATCGTCATCATCAGAATCATCAGCAGCCGCATCATCAGCATCATCATCGCATCAGCATCAGTATCATCATTATCGCCATAATCATCACCACCGTCATCATAATCATCATCATCGTCGTCATCAGCATCGTCATCATCCTCATCAGCAGCCTCATCATCATTGTCATCGCCATCATCATGATTATCAGCAGCATCGTCACCGTCATCGTGATCGTCATCGTCAGCATCGGTATCAGCTTCAGCATCAGCACCAGCATCATCATCATCATCGTCATCCTCCGCATCATCATCGTCACCAACATCACAAGCAGCAGGATCATCATCAGCAGCATCAGCATCATCATCATCATCATCATCAAGACGCAGGTATCGGCGCCAACTGAACCTGGAGTTGAGCTTCGGGAGCAGTTCAGCGAATTCGGCGACATGGATAAGGAGGCGTGGCTACTGGCTGCAGGCGATGCGTCAGGAGTTGAGCATTTGAAAGATCCGCGGATACGTCGCATCGCATGGAGCTGGATTGTTCTGGAGACCAGGGGTGCGGGGCCCGTGTTCGTAGCTGGTGGAAGAGGCGGACTCGCAGGCTGGAGGCAGAGCGTAAACAGCGGCAAGCTCATGACCTTGAAGGAGTTGCTCATCAGTGCGAAGGGCTGCTAGCGGATCCTGTACATCGTAGACTGCAGCTACGTGGTGCGAGGCGTGGCCACGGTGCAAGCTGGCAAGGTACCGACGACGCAGATTGCCCTGGGGAAAATAGTCAAACAGGAGATCGTGGGCAAGCATGTTAGAAGTGAACAAGGTCGAGAGCCACATGTCGGAGGCAGAGAGGGTCAGCTCGGGCACCAGCGTGCTCAACTACGTGGGCAACGAATTGGCGGACAGCTTCGTGGAGGACATAGTAAAGCAAAGGCAAATGTCGGCGGTTCAAGCTGGTACCGTGAGATGGTTGAAGGCATCGCGACGCAGATCAGGAAGAGAACGGTGGCGACGTTCGTGGCGGCGGTGGAGGCGGAGTCGTCACAGCCGCCATCAAGAGAGGCCAGACGGGATGCCAAGGTCAAGGAGAAGCGGATGGAGAAGCTGTTGGCGGTGACAAAGCACAATATATACAGAGGACCTGAGCAGGAGGCACTGGAAGTGCAGGAGGTGTGGTTCGCGGATGCCGATAACGAACGCCGTGGAGTGGTTGAAGGGAGAGTGCGTGGAGGCGGCGTCGTCGAGTGCGTCACCCTTGGGAGAGCTACAGGCGCCCCAAACCCGCAACGGACCCGACGCACAAGACGGAGTTCGACACGACCATGGAGGTACGCTAATGCACCCAAATGCGGGGCGCTCGCGAAAGAGATGATGAAGGACTTGGCCAAGCCGTGAGTGACGCCGATCAAGCAGGCTGGCAAGAGGAACCAGGCGCGGATCGAGAAGGGATTCATGACTGGAGGTTCAGCGTTCACAAAGTATCACAACCAGGGCAAGAAGAGAACGTGAACTGTGGGTGCTGGTTCGCGTCAGACCCCACCTAGCCGGGCCTCAGCCGTAGCATCCACGGGAGTCTTACCACGCATCGTCATCATCGACATTAGCAGCATCATCATCGTCCTCATCATCATCAGCATCATCAGCATCGTCATCATCATCATCATCATCGTCATCATAATCATCCTCATCATCATCGTCATCGTCGTCGTCATCATCATCGTCATCATCATCACCACCACCACAACCACCATCATCATCATCATCATCATCAGCAGCAGCATCATCATCATCATCATCATCATCAGCAGCAGCGTCATCAACATCATCGTCAAATCCTTTGTCATCATCATCATCATCATCATCACCATCATCATCATCATCATCATCATCATCATCATCATCATCATCATCATCATCATAATCATCATCATCATCATCATCATCATCATCATCATCATAAGCAGCAGCATCAGCAGAATGATCATCAGCATCACCATCAGCAGTATCAGCATCATCAGAATCACCATCATCATCACCACCAAAATCACCATCGTCATCACCACCACCACCAGCAGTGTCATCATCGCCACCACCGTCGTCATCAGCATCATCAGCATCAACAACCACAATATCTTCATTACCATCGCCCTCATCATCATCGTCAACATCAGCAGCAGCATCAGCCAGTAGCAGCATCTAATCATCATCAACAACATGGTCCTCATCAACACCATACTCAGCATGAACAGCATCGACACCAACATTAGCACCGTCATCATCAGCAGCATCATCAGCATCATCAGCATCATCCTCATTGTCGTCATCATCACCATCATCAGCATCATCAGCATCATCATCAACATCGTGATCAACATCAAAATCATCACAATCATCCTCAACACCGTCACCGCGACAATCGTCAGTATCACCAATCTCACCAGCATCGCCATCCTCATCATCATCAGCAGTAGCATCATCATCATATTCCTCATTAGCACCGTCATCGTCATTGACATCGGCGTCGGCATCGCCATCATCATCACCATCATCACACGAATAAGAATAATCATCATCAGTATCATCAGAAGCATCATCATACTCATTATACTCATCATGCTCATCATCATCCTCATCGTCAGCATCGTCATGATCAGCAGCCGCACCACCATCACCATCATCATAGTCATCACCATCATCGTATTCGTCGCCAGCAGCGACAAAGGCATCGGCAGCGGCAGTGGCACCAGCACTAGCATCCTCACCCACACTATCATTATCATGTTCATCATTACCATCATCATCAAAATCATCATCCTCAGCATCATCATAATCATCAGCATCAGCATCAGCATCATCATCATCATCATCATCATCATCATCATCATCATCATCATCGTCATCGTCATCGTCAGCATCATCACCAGCACCATCACTATCACCATCAACACCACCATCACCATCACCATCAGCAGCAGCATCATCAGCAGCATCATCATCTGGATCATCGGAGTCATAATCATCATGAGCAGCAGCAGCAGCAGCAGATCAACCCGATCCTCATCAGCATCAGCATCATCAGCATCATCCTCCCCACCATCATCAGCAACGGCATCATACGTATCACCAGCATCCCCGACAGCAGCATGATCCTCGTCCTCATCATCATCATCATCATCATCATCGTCATCATCATCATCATCATCATCATCATCATCATCATCATCATCATCATCATCATCATCATCATCATCATCATCATCATCATGATCATCATCATTTCCTGCCTATCAGTGCCGCCAGAGCCATCGCCACGCCAAGAGCTCCCACGCGCGCCCGCCCGCCTCTGGCGCTGGCGCCTGCGCCACGGCGTGGGCGCGCTCCGCCCACGACGCGCCTCGGGCCCCGCCGGCAGCGGCGTTGGGGGACGGAACGATCAAGCTGATGCATGCGTCTGCTCCCTTCTCCTCGTCCTGCCTCTCCCCCTCCTGCATCTCCTCATTATCCTCGTCCTCCTCGTCCTCCTCCTCCTCCTCCTCCTCCGCCTTCTCCTCCTCCCTTCTCCCTTCTCCCTCCTCCCTCCTCCCGCTTCCCTCCTCCCTCCTCCCTCCTCCCCTTCTCCCCTCCTCCCCCCTCCTGTCTCCCCCCTTCTCCCTCCTCCCTCATCCCTCCGCTCTATTCCCCCCTCCCTCCTCCCCTCCTCCCTCCTCCCTCCTCCCTCCTTTCTCCTCGCTCCTCGCTCCTCGTTCCTCCCTCCACCCGCCTACCTCCTCGCTCATCGCTCCTCGCTCATCGCTCCTCGCTCCCTCATCATCCCTCCTCCTTCCTCCCTCTCCTCCCTCCTCGCTCCTCGTTCCTCGCTCCTCGCTCATCCCGGAGGGGTGGCTGTGGGCCGCAGGAGGAGCGTGGGGGGGGGCTGAAAACGAGGGGCAGGATGAGAAGGGAAGGAGCAGGGAGGAGAGCTGGGACAAAGATGCGTCAGCGATGCTGCAACGCACCCTCCTGTCCCGAAAGTACCCTCCCCACAGGCCTTCCCCTTCGCTACAGGAGGCAACCCCCTGAAAGACCAGCACCTTGTCGGCCTACCATTCGGGCGGGAGCCCCGCTTCGAGAAACAATTGCCCTGCATGCCCTTCAGAGATCAGACAGTTCAGCAGGATCCCCTTTGTTCACACAGGGCCGCCTCCATCATACGCGTAACTGTTTCACATCTTCACTCGGCTGGCCATGGACGGACTTCATGGACGTCGCAAGCGAGAGCATCAGTTTGAGAAAGAGCCTCCGTCTGACCGTACAGCTGCGACAGATGTTCAAGTGCGCGGCATTCTGCCTCAAATAGATCTCGTGCGACGGTCAAATTGGTGAAAAGGAGCCGCCCTCCATCATTGCAACTGTTGCAAAATGTTAAACGGATGTACGCGGCGCTAGGCCGACAGCCCCACCTTGAAAACGAACCCCTGCTCTGCCCTTGAAAGTGATGCGAATGGTGAAGATGACAAACGAGCGCGGCGCTGAGGCGAGACCCCCTGTTTGAAGAGGAACCGCCCTCCATCCTTCATACTGGCGCGGCCCTCAGGAGAGAGCCCAAGTTTGGAAGCGACTCCCCTGCATCCTTGAACATGCTGCAACACGTTGAGACGAGTGTGCGCTGCACTGAAGCACAGAAAACGGGACGCACTCCATCCTCGAAACCGTTGCCTCGAAGCTGCTGCAAACTATCAAAACGAATGCGCGCGGCGCTCAGGCGAGGGCCAGATGTTGAAAACGACCCGTGCTCCGTCCTCCCTCGAAACTGTTGCACATGTCGAGCTCCAGGATCAGAACTGGTGAGGAAGTCTCGGGCGAAACGCCTGGCCCATCTCACCACTACATCTGGGGGTACGACAGGGAGAAGTTAGCCAGGAGGACGAGGAATGGAGGAGGGGGAGGCGGAGGAGGAGGAGGAGGAGGAAGGCCGAGGAGAGGAGAGGAGAGGAGAGGAGAGGAGAAGATGGGGGGCGAGGGTGGGTGGGGCGAGGGGCGACCGCCCGGAGCGACGAGGAGCAGGGGAGGAGGGAGGAGGCGGCAGGACGAGGGTGGAGGGAGCAACAAGGGACGAGCGGCAGGGAGGAGGGCGAGGGCAGGAAGGGACGAGGGACGAGGAACGACTCCCGAGAGGCCCGCAAGAGGGGGGCGGGCGGGCGGGCGGCGCGCGGGCGCGGGCCGTTCGACAGCGCCGCGGCGGCGAAGTCCTGCCGCGAGGGGGGGGCGGCTGCAGGGGGGGCGCCGCCCGGCGGAGGCGGTGGCGGCGGCGGCGGCGGCTGGAGCGGCGGGGGCCAGCGCAAAGGGCACAGGGCCTCACCTCCAAGGTAACGGCGGCCCTCCCCGGCGTGTCGCCTCGGCTTCGGCTCGGTGAGGGCTTCTCGTCGCTACGGCTGGATCCGCCTGGAGAACAGGAAAAAAAAAAACGGGAGGGGGTCCTCTTGGGGATCGTTGGAGGCTCCGTGGGAGGCTCTTGGCTGTCTCAAGGCGTTCCTGTCCAGTCTTGCGCCGTCGGAAGCCGGCTTGGGGGCCTCTCTGGGCCAACTTGGGGCTCTCTTGGGGCGTTTCAGGGCCGTCTCGGAGTCCATCTGAGGCGTTTGGGAAAACTCCTGGGCGGACTTGGGCCACCACAGCCGCCGAACCGTTCTCTCTCCCACGGGTCCCTCGGCTTTTCGGGCCCGCCGCACCCCCTTGCGGGCGGAGTTGTGACGAGCTGCCAGAGGCAGCGCGCGGTGGCGGAAGGAGAACCTGCCTTGAATTCTGATTGCGCAAAGCGGTGTGCATCTTTCAATCCGTCATACCTATCCGTGCCAGACCCAGTCGATGATTTACTTAGGGCCGCGCGCCGATTCCGACTCGGCAATCGTCACACCATTGCCGACGCCGCTCCTTCTTGTCAGCGCGAGCTTACTGGCGAACATGTCCAAACAAGTCAGAACAGCTAGACGACAGAACGCACCTCCCGTACTCGCTGAACGTATGACTGTAATGATCTGACTGGAATGATGATGCTCATTGGAAACACGTCCCCATGTCGGTATCAGCCATCCACCCGTTGATTTGTTTTTTGTTCTGCACCCATTTTTCGTCTCGCGTTTGGTCTGGCCCACGCGAACCAAACTCTTGACGCACTGATCCGCCCCGGAGCTCCACATCGAAATGTTGGGGATGTCTTTTCCAAACACACCGCAACACTGATTGCACGTTCTCTTCAATGTACCTATGACAAGTCGGCCGTGCGCGCCATGTGCTCCATGGAAGCTGGTGCTCGATGCACCATGACACGGGCCCTGTGGGAGGGTAGTAACTGACCTACGACATGTGTCTCCATGGCACGTACTGCTATTCTTCTCCAGTGCGCTTTCGGAGAAGGAGGGGGGAATGCTCAGGGGAATGACAGCAAGGCATCAGATGAAGCCGCCTGTCCTCGACGTGAGTGTCTGGGCTAACCCACGGAAGCGCCAGCAGCAAAACTGAAGAGACATGCGACTCTCCTGGCACTGCTGCACCTGAGGGGCTCAAGCCTGCGCGCTGAAGAGCTGGCCCTGCGGGCCGCAGCCAGCCGCTCGCACAATGGTGCGCGCGACGGTGCCCTGCGGTTGGTGCCCGGTGCCAGGGGTGCCATCCGGTTGGTGCCCCGTGGGGCCCGCCGGTGCGCGCGCTGGTGCCCTGCAGCCGGTGCCTTGTGCAGGGGTGTCCTCTTGGTTGGTGCTCTGTGGGTAGTGGTCGGCCGATTGCGCTCGGTGCCCTGTGCTTGGTGCCATGTAGTGCCCTGTGAGTGGAGGTAGGACGTTCGTGCTGGCATGCCCCACGTATCTTGAACATCGGGAACGCAATGGCCCACTGCCTGGGGCCCACGGGCGCGCAGCTGGCTTCCGAACAGTTACTATGCAAGATCGGTGCTATAATCGTTTCGTAGCATACCTTCCATAACGGGATTGTGGTAGGAGGCAGCCTGGCCGCGCGTTTGCCTTTTCGCTGGGATATCCAAACATACACTTCCAGAGCGCATGGGAGCTCAAGCGTGATGGAACAAAGTCGTGTAAAACAACTCTCTCGGCCGCAAAACCATGAAGGCGCCGCTGAGGGGAGAGGACCACGCTTCACAGGATGGTCTCAAATCGGTCCCACAGACCTGTCCCAGAGCGCGTCCTGACCATGATCTCGGGGCGGACCGAGCCGTAGCAACGGGAATTTTGGCGATGCTTCCCATTCGAACATGATGTCCTAGATTCGTCCTCCTCCTCCTCCGCCTCCCATCAGATCTCGTCCTCCTCCTCCTAGGCGCCCTCCCATCAGATCTCGTCCTCCTCCTCCTCCGCCTCCTCCTCGTCCCCTCTCCATCCTGTTCATCGTCCTCCTCCTCCACCTCATCCTCCTCCTCCTCCTCCTCCTCCTCATCATCATCATCATCATCATCATCATCATCATCATCATCATCATCATCATCATCATCATCATCATCATCATCATCATCACCACCATCATCATCAACATTAGCATTATCATCATAACCATCACATCCACCACCATCACCACAAACGTCACCACCCTCCTCATCCTTCTCCTCCTCCTCCTCTTCATAGTCGCCCTCTTTTTCCTCTTGTGCTTCTTTCTCATCACCATCGTCATCACCATAATCATCAGCAGCAGCATCGCCATCATCATCATCCGCAGCATCATCATCATAATCAGCAGCATCACCAGCATCAACAACAACATCCTCATCGTCATCGTCATCATCATCATCATCATCATCATCATCATCATCATCATCATCGTCATCATTATCATCGCCATCACCATCAGCATCAACAACATCATCAGAATCACCGTCGTCGCCGGCAGCGGCAGCAAAATCATCATCATATCATCATCATCATCATCATCATCATCATCATCATCATCATCATCATCATCATCATCATCATCATCATCATCATCATCATCATCATCATCATCATATTCTTCTTCTTCTTCATCATCATCATCATCATCAGAAGCAGCAGCAGCAGCAGAAGCATCAGCATCATAATCATCAGCACCATCATCAACATCACTATCAACAGCAGCAGCAGCAGCAGCATCGTCCTCACTTTCCAGTCCGCCGACCCTGTCGGCGCCAGGGGCTCTTCCGTTCGAGTCGTCGTCGCCGCCGTCATTCGTTCATCGTCCTCTCTCTTTCTCTCGTCCTCTTTCCCTGCACTTTCCTTTCCATGTGCCCGTCGCCGCTCCTCTCTCCTTTCCTGGGCTCTCCTCCTCAAGCGCGTCAGCCAAAGCGAAATTGAGCAACGCCGTCATACACTCGAAGGGAACCCCCTTCCCTTTTATCCCTCCCCCGCGCAGAAGGGGGGGGGTCCCGGGCCCGGACCAGGGGGGGTCCCGGGTCAGATGCGCTTCCCCTCCGGGAGCTCCCGGGCCGCAAAAAAAACCCTCAAGACGGCCCAAGAGTACCCCAAAAACTCCCAAAGACAGTTCACGAGGGCCCCAGATCGCCGAACGATCTGTCCAAGACGCCTGGACGGCCTGCATACGACACAAGAATCCTGTCAGACGCTCCTCAAAGTGGCCTCCAGGAGCAGTCCCAAGAGTGCCTCCAGAATAAAAACCGAAGATCTTCTACTCGCCTCTTCCGCTCCGCGACGCTCCAAGACGGCCCAGGCGGCCTCCCAAATCGCCCCCAGACAGCCCAAGCTCCACGAGCGACCCAAAACGGCCCAAGAGTCCCAAGACGGCCCAAGACGCCTCCAAAAAGGCCCCAAAGGCCCCCAAGACGGCTACAAGACGGTGCCGAGACGACGGACCGAAACGAACATTGCGAGCCCTCCGCCCCGAGTGCTCACAGAGGAAAACAAGAGGCCCCCCAAAGGCCTCCAACGAGCCCTGAAAAGACCCCAAGATGTTCCCGAGAGGCCCCCAGGAAGCCCCAACATGCCCCCAAGAGGCACCCAAGAGACCCGATACACTGTCCCCCGAGGCCTTCAAGGGCGTTTCGACCAGACCCCAAGAAGCATCCCTGGGGACTCTGACCCACGTCCGCGTCGTCGTCGCCGTTGGTAACCCGACGGTGTACACACAGGAAGGTGGTTGCCGCGCTGCTTTTTGTCTTCGTGGCGACACATCACCCCCCCCCCCCCCTGGTAGACGGCGAATCCATGGCGGCTCCTCCGCCATCCAGCTCCTCATCCCTCCTCCTCCCTGGTATCTTCCCTCCTCCCTCTGTTTACCCTTCCCACTCACCGCCTACGTCCCCCGCACCTCCTCCCTCCCATGCCTTAGCTTTTTCAATAGTTTCATCGTCGCTGTCTTCGTCGTCCCCCTTCAGGGTCGGCGGCACCGCCCGTAAGGCCTTCGCAATAATCATCATCACCACCACCACCACCACCATCATTATCGCCACCACCAGCATGATCAGCAGCAGCATCGTGCTCATCAGCATCAGCATCATCATCCCCATCAACACATCAACACATCATCATCCTCAGCAGCATCACCAACATCATTATCAGCACCATCGTCGCATCAGCATCATCAGTAGCAGCATCATCAGCAGCAGCATCATCGTCGTCCTCATCTTACTATCATCATCGCCGTCCTCACTATCATGATAATCATCGTCGCCATCATAATCATCATCATTATCAGCATCCTCACCACCACCAACAACAGCAACCTCATCATCATCATCGTCCTGATCAGACTCATCATCATCATCATCAACAACATCACCACCACCACCACCACGAACACCAGCATCATCATCATCAACATCATCAGCATCATTTTCACATCATCATCAGCAGCATCAGCATCATCATCAGCAGCATCATTGTCCTCCTCTAACTATCACAATCGCCGTCCTCATCATCATGATAAGCATCGTCGTCATCAACATCATCATTATCAGCATCCTCACCATCAACAACAACAACCTCATGATCATCGTCCTGATCAGACACATCATCATCAACATCACCACCACCACGACCACCATCATCATCATCATCATCATGATCAGCATCATCATCATCATCATCATCATGATCATCATCATCATCGTCGTCATCGTCATGGTCACCGTCATCGTCATTGTCTTGAGTCATTGTCACCGGCATCGTCATCGTCATTGTCATCGTAATCGTCATCGTCGTCGTCATCATCATGATCAGCACCATCACCATCAGCATCATCAGCATCATCAGCATCATCATCACCTTCACCATCACTAGCATCATCATCATCATCATCATCATCATCATCATCATCATCATCGTCATCATCATCATCATCATCATCATCATCATCATCATCATCATCATCATCATGGTCATCATCATCATCATCATCATCATCATCATCATCACTCCTCATCATCATCATCGTCATCATCATCTCCACCTCCGTCGTCATAACCACCATCATCATAAGCAACATCATCACCATCACCACCCCCGCTCGCTCCTTCTCCCCCCCCCCTCCCCGGCGGGGAGAGGCCGCGGGAACCCCCAAGAGGCGGGGGGGAGGGGGGGGGCGCTCCTGGGGAGACGGCGCCCAGCTGCTTCGCTGCGCTGGCGGTCCTCCCCGCCCGCGCGCGCTCGCGTGCGCGTCTGCCGCGCGGCCAGACACTGGTCTGGTGTGGCACCCGAGCGGGCTCCCGAGGGGGAATCTCTCAGCGAGCGAAGAACGGTATAGAATAAACTTTCCGCCGTCGGGGACACCTGCCCCATGGGCGGCTGGAAAGTTTCTACCCCTAGGGTGCCACCGTAAGGGTATAAACTTTCCAGCCGCCCAGGGACAGGCGCCCCCGACAGCGAAAAAGTTTATTTTACACCGTTCTTCGCTCGCTGAATCGGGTCGGG